GGGGGGGTCTGGAGCCGGGGTTGGGGGTGCCCACCCCCGGAACCCCGGAACCCCGCCGGGGCTCGACAACCCTGATAATGACCCTATACGTTGTATTTGGGGGAAGACTGTAGTTACTGCAAAACGGCAGTAAAACAGCTAAGTAATAGCAAGCAAGACTTTGTGCCTGGCTTCCCTGTTAGACGAACCTGGGAAACAGTTTAAGCAATAGCAAATATTGGCAAGCAAGACCTTGTGCCGGGCTTCCCTGTTAGACGAACCTGGAAATTCTACCCACCGTATGTGAAAAGCAACGGGTCATACACCCTTGTTAGACGAACCTGGAAATTATGCCAAGCGTATGTGAAAGGGTGTATGACCCGTCGCCTTTCACATAAAGCATGTGGAACCAGTAACATGGGATCCCTGTAACACAGCGTGTGGAACCAGTAACACACTCAATATACATGAAGCACGTCAGCCCATCACTTTCATCGCATTCATTCTGCCAAATACTCGGCCTTTGTCTCTCAATTGCTGCCTTCCCGCCACTGTAAACTAGGTAGCAGTAGGGGAAGGAAAGGTCTGGAGAAGTTGGTAGGCCCCCTTTTTGTCAGTTAGTAGAGTTGGCAGCAAAATCCGTGGAAAGTCTGCAAACTTCGGAAAGGGACAAACATCAGCAGGCTACCGGCCTATAACCCGTCTGGATAGTCCAGTTGTGGAAGTCATACACACACATTCCCTTGTGAGTCCGTGCGGAAGCAATGCTGCACTATTTTGGGATACACCGTTGTGTGAAGAGAGAGAGACCATACCTGAGACAGTTAGTCGTCCCCCAAACATAACGCACCCTTGTCATGACCGGACATGACTGGACGGGGCCGGAAAGATACATAATCAGGGTGCTTGTGTTCGGGGGAAGATGGTAGTAGTTGGCAGCCATGGCCACACCACTTGCAGAAAGGCAATACGGTGTAATTGAGTTGATTGGTGGACAGTGGACACTACCATCGAGAGTTGATTGGTGGAGACAACCCTCAAGTTGCATCTCCCTTGTGCATTGGGTGTATGTGCATGATCTTGTGTGTGTGTGCACTCAGGTGTGCTTTGGGTGTATTGGGTCTGCACTCACTTGTGCTTTGGGTGTGTATTGTGTGTGCTCTCACTTGTGGTTTGGGTGTATGTGCATCATCTTTAGTGTGCATGGATTGAATGTATTGCGTGTGCTCGGCCTCAAAGCACTAAAAGACAACAGAAGGGGAAAAACAAAACATAGTCCTTTGGAGGGAGACGGAGACGGACCATAACGAACGCCACGAAAATGGTGGCTTGCCATGGATGTCTTCAAAAAGGGAAACTTTGTCGGGTGCTTCTCTATGATGCCGTTTCCACATGGTGTCAAATTTTCCGTATGCCCTTACCAAGGAATCATTCTACTACTCCTTCAGGTGCTCTTGGCGTCAGATTTTCCGTATGCCATTATCAGTACCAGGCATCCAATTGACTGACAGTTGCAGCATTTGGAAACTTTTGATGGTTGGCAGGAGGACATTACACGATGCGCCTCTATTGTAGATGCATCGGAAGAAATAGCCATCTTTTTCGGGGTCATCGGACAACATAGTAAATACTAAATACCAATCTTTCAGGGTCATCGGACATTTTTACCCGGTTTGAGTCCGTGTTGAGATCGAATCGAAACTCGTAGACGACTTTGGCGCAAGCGACGATAAGCAAGGGCGGTCCTGTGTGCTGAATTTAGCCGTACCATTCCCGTGCACACGACGCATTATCGTTGTCATTGCAGCAGGCCAGAAAAACCACTTGTATATGTTCATGTTGAGGGTATGGTGTGTGTGTGCGGGCAGATGGCAGTCGGTTTTAGTGGCACGGGGTAGAGTGACCCCCTGGGGTTTCTCGAACCTCCGTAATAAAGGTCGACTGTTGCCATGCAGAAGGCATGGGCCAGAGTGACCCTAAGTTCTTCCTATATGTGCAACAGTAGACCAGATTGCACACACACAAACACACACCCAGAGGGTCGAGAAACCCGAGAGGGTCACTCTGCCCCATGCTCTACTGGGTGGCAGGCTGGCAGCAGTATACCAGATTGCACGTGTTCCTGCCACCCCGGACGGTTTAGGATTGGTCCTGTTTTTTTGTTCCTTCTGATATGAGAAGATTTATGTTCCAAGCTAAGATGCTCACTTGTTTAATAATAATCATAATAATAATAATAAAGTAAAGATGCTCACTAGTCCCAAATACTCCTGAGAAAGCATAACCTGGCCCTTCCATGACTTTTCTTGCGGTCGCAGGAAAAAGGCATGGCAAGCGGGAGGGGTCCGAAGAGGTAGGGAGGGCCAAAATTTTATGTATTCCGGTTGTGCAGTCGTTTGTCCTTCCACTGTGTGTTTCTCAAAGAAAATGCCCTTCCTTTCACGTGCGCAACCTCCCCCCCCGGGACAGCAGGCATGCTGTCTCATCGCTGTTTTTTTCTGTCTTGAAAAGGGCTTGCTTTGGCCTGCATCTCTGCACTTCACAGATGAGATGTACTACCTTCTTCCCCCCAACATAACGCACCCTCATTTTGCCTGTACCGGACTGGAAAGATAGCTTCTATACATTCATGATCAGGGTGCATTATGTTCGGGGGAAGAGGGTAGTGCCCAGGGCTGCTTCGCTGGCACGGCGTTGTCGTTTTCTGCGCCTGGTTTCTTATCGGTCTCCTGCTGTCCGAATACAAGTGTTATAGGGCCTCGCTGCACTACACTCCACATGCGCAAAAGACCAAAAACAAAAAATGGCAACGTATCTTTCCATGTTCTAGCGGTGGATTCAGTCTCATTTTGCACATTTGGAGAGTAATGCAGCGAGGCCCCATATGAGGTCGACCCTCCTTTTTGTTTGATGCAGTTTAGAGCAGGACACCTCTTTTTTGTTTGGCGCACTTCACATCCCGACAGAGAGGGGGGAATGAAAATTGTGCAATTCCCCTTCAGCGTCAGGTCGCTGCACTACTCACCAGCTACACAAAACGAGAATGGACGAGAACGGACCTTCTGCTGTTTGGGTGGATACTACCGTCTTCACGCGAATAGAACGCCCGGTCATTATCACTGCATCTAGACTGAAAGTTCCACCAAATACAGCTATAATGACTGGGCGTTCTATTCGGGTGTAGATGATAGTACAGAGGAGATCCACGCGAGCTCGCCATTCCTCGTGCTGTTTTCTTTCTGTTCCAGCAGGCCCAACTTCGAATGCAGATAGGGTGACCAGGGTCGGATGAATGTAACCTATTGAATCACCTTGGGACGGTCAGTTCCGCAATAATGGGCCGCGCTCCACTACTCACCGAATTCACAAAATGAGAATAAATGTTCTGCTAGAACATTGGAAGATACACGTCCATATTTTTTTGTCTTTTGTGCCTCTCGTGAGCAGTGGAGCGAGGCCCAATATCCCAAGGCCATTGTCCTTGTTTTAGGAAAAAAGACAAAAAGAAAAAAGATCATGATCTCAGATGAAACTCGCACAAACCCCTCCAAATTGCAATGTGGCCCAATCGATGCCCGAATCGAGTTCTCCTTTTGCAAGTACTCTATCTGACGGTTTCTGAC